CCCCATATAGTCCAAAAACGTGGTGTAAATAAATTGGATAAACAAATTGACCGTAGTGTACGAGTGTGTGTGTGAATGAGTGAGTGTATGGGTGTTTCCCAGTACTGGGTTGTGGCTGGAAGGGGATCTGCTGCATAAAACATATGCTGGAATAGCTGGCGGTTCATTCTGTTGTGGTGACCCCTGACAAATAAGGAACTAAGCCGAAGAAAACTGAAATGTTTGGAACCATTTATAATGTGACTAAAATTTCATTTTGAGGAAATTCAACCGGTCTAAACCTAAACCTATCTTGACAACTTATATCTAAAAATCCATACATCTGTCATTTACAAGTGTGATTTCAAAACATGAGCTGACAGTTAAGTGGTTTATTTAATACTTAAATATATACAGTAATCATTTAAACTACAGTTTGATGATAACAATACATGTTAGGTAAATTGCTTATGCATATCATCATCCTCATCATTACAAAACTACATTCAGGCTTTAAATTTTAACTTAGTTAAACTTAGTTAAATTTTAACTTAGTTAGTTTACAAATTGCTGAGTTTTTACGGCAATCTGTGATTTCGGTATATTACAATAAGGGAAGCCCTATTGCATGCCCTGAATGAGTTACGAGGTCTTCTATGTTTGAAATATAAAATGATAAATGAAAAATAAGTTCACATGTAAAAATGTGTGTAAAACGTACACTCACCTGCCACTTTATTAGGTACACCTGTCCAACTTGTTAATGCAAATTTCTAACAATCTGCTGCAGTTCAGTCCGAGCATCAGAACAGAGAATAGGGATGAGCTATAAGTATTTCAGAAACTGCTAATTAACAGCATGAAAGCATGGATCCATTCTGCCCTGTATTAACAGTTCAGGCTGCTGGTGGTGGTTTAATTGTTTTCTTGGCACACTTTGGGCCTATTAGTACCAATTGAGCATATTGTCAGCGCCACAGCCTACCCGAGTATTGTTGCTGTCAAACCCTTTATGACCATTGTGTAACCATACTCTGATGGCTATAGTATTTCCATAAGGATAACGCGCCATGTCATAAAGCGCAAATAGTCTCAGACTGGATTCTTGAACATGACAATGAGTTCACTGTACTTAAAGGGCCATGACCACCCCAACTTTCGGTTAAAGTCTACTTTAGAATTTTTTCAAAAGATGCGTGATTAATGGGCGTGGAGCTCCGCGAGCATAGGGCAGGAGTGGCCGTGGCCAGCAGGGGAGAAGGGGAGCGAACAACTGTTGTTGACAGTTTGCTCACAAACTGAGACACAAACCGTGAGGAGACGCATGAGTTTATAGTTTACAACGTTAAAATGCAAAGAAATAAACAGTAATTTAATGCCCTGCTACATTTGTTATTCGTAATTTCATATACACATAACCACAATTTATATCATTATAAAGATAGTGTGTTCATGTAAACACTATAAATGAGGATTTTCCCTCAATCCCCGGGTCTATTATAGATCTGAATGCAGACTCAGTGCAGCAGGTCTCCTGACCTGTCTATTTTAACCATTAGCCCTGCTGGTAATATAGAGGATTTAGGCAAACACAGCAGCACGGCGATGTGTCTGAATGTGAACGAACTCCTGATAAAAGTCATCGCCCGCCATTCTTCAATTCTCGTACTGTTCTCCCGACAAAAATGCTTGCAGCACACACACAGCTTTGCTGTATGATCGGCCCTGACAAGATCGCGGGGATAAAACATGCAACAAACCCTGTGGATCATGGAAACAAACACATACGAGCCTTCATGAACGGCTACTGCGTGCCGTTGGTCTGTGTCTCACAGCTTGCTTGAAACTGGCAGGTCTGCCTTCGGAAAGCACGTGCTCTCATGAATAATTAAGCAGCCGGCTCTTCTCATAGGATAAGGAAACTCTGCTTTGAATAATAATGAGAAACTGACGCGTCATCATTGCACTTGCAGTACTGCGCTACGTCGCTGATTTTGATCCCGCCCCAAAAATCATTTTAAACCCGGAAGCTGAAATTAGCTGAGAAAAGCTCAAAATTATCCAGTTTTCCCCACAATTACAGCTGACAGGTGCTAACATTGTCTTAACTGATGCTCAACACAAACAAATCTGTTAAAATAAAAAAAATGTTCTCCAGGGTGTCCGGAACCTTTAAAGGGCCATTACAGTCACCAAATCTTTATCCAATAGAGCACCTTTGGGATGTGGTGGAACAGGGGGTTTCGCATCATGGATGTGCAGTTGACAAATCTGGAGCAACTATGTGATGCTATCATGTCAATTTGGACCAAAATATCTGAGGAATATTTCCAGTACCTTGTTGAATTTATGCCACAAAGGATTCTGAAGGCAAAAGGGGTCCAACCCGGTACTTGTAAGGTGTACCTAATAATATGGCCGGTGAGTGTATACTGTATATGTATATGTGTATTATATTCTATATACTTTAAAAATGCTTATTAAAAATATATATATATATATATTCTTTTGATGAAACTGTAGAAAACACATGAAGTTATAATATATATTTTTAATATGATAATGATAATTTTTTTCATATGATCATACATTCTTTGCAGAAAAAATTTGTGTTGGGGCCATCAAATTTTGGTGAAAATAATCAAAAATGCTGGACAGTGCCTGGCAAAAAGGGAAGGAAAGGAAAAGGATATTTTATCATGAATAAAAGCTTGTTTGATTTGAGTAATTGTGCGTGTCTAATTTGACTGGATTATGTGTATAACAGTTCATATCTGTCAATCGCTGCTCACAGCTTTGTTTCCATTTGGCCTAAATTAAACACTCCATTTACTTTGGCTAAAGTCTGGGGTCTGTTCATGCTAGTAAGGCAACCAATTCACAAACTATGAATGCTTTAAATGTGAGAGCCAGCTATGCAGTTAAATTATTAACCCTCCTATGGTTTGTATAATCTTTTTTTAATATTTCCCGAATTATGTTTAACAGAGCAAGGTAATTTTCACAGTATTTCTTATAATATTTTTTCCTCTGGAGAAAGTCTTATCTATTTTATTTCGGCTAGAATAAAAGCAGTTTTTTTTTCAAGCATTTTAAAGGTCAATTATATTAGCCCCATTAAGCAATATTTATTTTTATTATCTACAGAACAAACCATTATTATACAATGACATGTCTAATTAACCCAGTTAATCCTTTAAATCAGGGGTGCCTATACTTTTTCTTAAAGCTCTGCATACCCTTTACCAGGTCCGTGATGTCATTTACTTCTGCATTCTTTAAATTTTAAAAGTCCGTACTGGCCTTTCGTTCTCTCATCAGTTGGAATAGAATAATTTAGCAATATGATAGAAACATTTTTCTTTTTTCTGATTACCCAAATTAATTACAGCAACCTAGACCACACAGAACCTATAAAGGTACATTTTCAAATTTATTTTAGAAAAGCGTCTTTTTAGATTTATTATAACACAGACAACATATACGGTAATTTTAATCACGTTCAATTGTGTTTTATGGAAATTCAAAGGGTTTTCTTTACAATGATACCAGACTTTAGCATTTACACCTCTGCATGTAGATTTGTAAAGCTTATGAATTTGGGTAGGCAAAATCCAGGCAGAAACTCCACAATAGCACTCAACTTTAAGAAATTAAGGGCCAAAATGCAAGCTTAATTGAGAGCTGTGGGCCGAAAGTAAACATAGCAAACTGTGTAACATTAAAGTTGGCATGGGTTATTTCCTAACTTATTACATAATATTTAAAAATAAATATTTGCCAATAAGTATTTGCTAATGCATTCAAAAAAATTTTTTAAATGTATATTATTTTAACAAACTTACTACAAAAAACTAAAAAATTCTATTTAGAAAACAATGGGTCAGCGCCATTAGCCTAGTGGTTAAGTGTGTAGATACAGTATATATCACTATTGTGCTCACGGCGACCCGAGTTCGATTTCCGGCTCGAGATCCTTTTTTCGACCCATCCCCTCTCTCTGCTCCCAATACTTTCTACTGTCCTTTCCAAATAAAGGTAAAAAAACCCTAAAAATAATTATAAAAAAAAAGAAAACAATGGAGCTCAATGACAAATACACTAGTCATGCTGAACCTGCCTTTGCCTTAATTTGATGTCTTCTTCTTGGTCCCCTATTCGCTAAATGACAGTATGTACATTTGTTAAAAATCTGATTCATTTATAACATTTAATTAAAACATTTAATTATTATTTTTATTTGTAGCTCAACAATAAAACAAACAAACAAAAGATTACCTCAAAATAGAAATGAGAATCTCGGTTAAAGGCATTCCTTAATCCTTCCAAACATTTTCCTCTGGTGTGCTAAATCAAAGGATACAAAGAGACAACTTTGGCCTGCGGGCCCTAGTTTGGGCATCTCTGCTTTAAATGTCACTTTAAGTTGAATACTAGTATACTCAAAAATATGATGTCATCATTGCAAGGATAAAATAAATCAGTTATTAAAAATAAGTTATTAAAGCTATTAATGTTTGGAAATGTGTTGAAAACAAAACTCTTCGTTAAACAAAAATTGGGGGTAGGTCAGCAGTCTCCTCAAACTATGCATTCATTTTATGAATGAGTTCTAGACATTTCTTGCCTTTCTCGTCTGTCAAAGCAGCTGTTACCAAACACCCAGCGGCACATTTCAGCCCCACACAAGCTTCCAGAACACACATGCTAACTCCTGATAGCAGGATCAGATCACCTGGAAGCCCTCAGAGTAGAGTTTAAGACATATGTTTGAGGTCAAAAACCTCAATGAACTCTAGAAAAAAAGCTGGAGTGAAACGAGGTTCAAGGGGACGAACGGTTTTAATCACTGGGCTTTAAAACACACCAAAGCAATGAGTAAAAGAGCCGCAGACATTGACTGTACACCTCTATGTGCTTAAAGAACAGATGGTTTGCTTGAGGGTGAGATGATAAAAGCATGGCATATGATTCTGAGTGCCAAGTAAAAGTGGGGGTTATTAGTTATTATGTGAACTTACTTTCTAGTTCCTCTTTTTCAAAGTTTGTGTGAATGTTAGAGCTGGTTTTCCCCTGGTCAACAACAGCTTCATCATCATTGCCCTGAATCGAGAGAGAGAGAGAGAGAGAGAGAGAGAGAGAAAGAGTGAGATAAAAATGAATAAATTTATGTCACACCAGAGTAAACAAACAAACCATGGCAACACGAGCGGGTGCCATTCCAGTCGCTGCCGCTTTGGTCTGGCTATAATTGAGAATTGTGCAATAGTTTAGAGTTTATACCGTAAGTGGGCTTAAGACTATTGTTTTTGACAATGCAATGTCTTGGCAGAAAGCTAAAGGAAGCAGGTCACAAAATAAACAGCTAGAGTTCATTTTGCATCAGATGAACCAAAATACGTGAACAATAGTATAACCTTAGCCCACTTAAGAAGTAACTAAATGAAACAAAGCTAATAACTTAACTAAATGAAAGACATACAGTACAGCTTGAAAAAAATAAACATAAAAGGTTTGAAAAAAATAAACATAAAAGGTTTAGTAGTTGTATTACTATTGGTTTTACAACAATAACCTATCCTGAAATGTTTTATAGAATGACATGTACTGCTAAAACATAACTTACTTTATTTGCAGCATGACTCTTAAAACAGCCCATTACAATGATCATGAATATACATTTGAGTTCATTCAGAGCGCAAAATGTTAAATATAAATGACAAACAACATTAACAATAGTAGAAGAACGAATGTCTTTGGACTGTGGGAGAAACCGGAGCACCCGAAGAAAACCCACGCAACACAGGGAGAACATGCAAACTCTACACAGAAATGATAACAGACCCAGCTGGGACTCGAACCATTGACCTTGCTGTGAGGCAACAGTGCCACCCACTGCTTTATTTTCTTAACCATTTTAAGCTTTTATTCTAATAGTATGTCCATTTAACCAACACAACCTCACAGCAATTTACAACTTTGATTTAGTGGCTAATTCGTATGAATTTATACGATGTCATTCATACAATTTAGTACGATTTGCTCATCCCCAAATGACGGCTAGATTAAGGGGTGGGGTTTGGTACTACGTCTCTTTTTTAAAATCGTAATTTTTTAAACAACTGAACACGTATGAATTTGACACTAAACTAACAAAACGTAAAATAGTAACGTTTTCTCGTGAGATCAGCATGATTTAACAAAAACCATAAAACAAACTTAAACTTAAAATGCCTATTTAAAAAAAAAATTTCTATAATTTTCTCAACCATCCTCAAATTCTGTCTCATTTGAGATCAAATGAAAACATCCAACACCATTCAACACACATTCACACAATTTCTTCAGAATTTCTTCAGAAGCAGTCTTTTGTTAACCTGTGGCCTTAATAACACGTCTCTAAAATAAGATGTGCTTTAAGGGCCCTATTATCATCTAACAGCTGCTATCATATAGCACCTATCCTGAGTCAAGCAGGAGTGATCAGAAAAGTGCTGGGGACACATTAAGTCATGTGTCTGAAAAAACGATCTACTAAAAAGTAATGGGGACATTACCAATGCTGCATTATGAGGGAGGGACTAGGACACGGGACACTTCATTCATTCATTCATTTTTCTTCAATTTAGTCGCTTGTTTATTAGAGGTCACCATAGCGGAATGAACCAGCAACTATTCCAGGATACGTTTTATGCAGCAGATGCCCTTCCAGCTGCAACCCAGTACTGGAAAACACCCATAAACGTACACATTTACATACAAAACAGCCAATTTAGTTCATCCAATTCACCAATAGCGCATGTCTTTAGACTGTGGGGGAAACCAGAGCACCTGGAGGAAACCCATGCAGACATGGGGAGAACACGCAAGCTCCGCACAGAAATGCCAACTGACCCAATCGGGTCTCGAACCAGTGACCTTCTTGCTGAGGCGACAGAGCTATCCACTGAGCCACCGTGCCACCCTCATGAAAATTCCATGAGATATAATTTGGTCTAAGACAGGGCTCAGACTAAACTTCTGTAAATGCATGCTGCACGTGTCCACTTCCAGTCTATAATACGTCTGAGCATGACATTTTCCAACCACTTCAGTTTAATAGGGTTGAGTCACATTTGGAGACTATGTAAACCAATGCTGCCCACAAACTTCTAAACAACGACAATGAGCCTAAATTGGACCCAATTCAAATCAACTTCTGCTATTTATCAGGACCAAGCTGTGATCTGTGTGCACAACAATTACTGTTAAAACAGAGACCATTTTCCACTGCTATATATATATATATATATATATATATATATATATATATATATATATATATATATATATATATATATATATATATATATAAGACCCTTTCTAGGCAACTATGTCCCAAAATTTCCCAAGAGATCCACACATGTCTGTGTGAACATTTTGGTGGTCATGTAAGGAGCTGGTGCATTGAGAATGGTGATTATGTGACATTTTTCCAGATGCAACCAGGGGAATTTTCAAGACTATGCCTGAGTCCCTCTACTGCATATTTGTTTAAGTTCCCCAGACAATAATCCAAATCCCACAATTCCCAACCAATGCTGCGACATAAGCAAAGTCTCCAGAGAGAATGCTGCATAGATCTGTGAGAAAACAGAATAACCTCTTCCTTTCCTATGACACCACTTAAAAATACCAAAAAACTATATATAAATACTAAACAACACATTTCTAAATTGTCTGAACAGCTAGTCTGGACTAAAGCCACACGTGTAAGCAGATTTCCTGTAGAGCAACATCACGATCATGGGTTTAATTTAAAGCGAAAGCAAGAAGTTTAAATGCAATGCAATAGTAGATTGATATATGATCACGTTAAATCAGACACAATTTGTTATAATATTCCATAATATTCCAAGAAAAATGTTTGATGTTTGCACCAAGCCCAGCATTGCATACCTGCATTCACTCTTTTAAATGTAATTTATTCACATCTAAAAAAAAGTTCCCCATTTCATCTCATATAGATATACACACAATATATTAAAAGTTTTTTTAAAAAAACAGCCATTTTCTGCTAACATTTAAGAGCTGTTGAGCAGGTTCTTAAAGAGCACTGATTTGCCATTATTATCATATGCTCAACAGAAATTACTGTGATTGACCATAAAGGTCATTAGTTTACCGGTCTTCACCGCTGTTTACCAAGTACAAACACATATAGAGGGATGGGAAGATCAGTCGATTCATCAGCAGATTGTTTGTATGTCAATCTTTGCTGCTTTAAAATGCTCCAGTGTCCCTGTAGTGGTGAACTGATGACCTTCATGGCCTATCAGTCATTCTGTTGAGCAACCTGAACACAACGGCAAATCAGCGCTGTTTAAGAAAGTGCTCACAAGCACTTAAATGTTAAAATGTAACGTATGTTTTTAAAATTTCAGTACCGATTGGTACCAAAATTCAGTATCGTGACAACACTAACATATACAAAATGTCTAAATAGAATGATTTATTTATTAAGTCAACATGCATGGAGATTACCACTTCATGGGTGAAAAAGTATTTTAAAATTGAAAAAAAAAATAATAAAATTTAAAAAATAATAAAATATTATAAAATTAAATTTAAATAAATAAATTATATATTATAATATATAATAAATATATATATATATATATATATATATATATATATATATATATAGATCGTTTTAAAAACTCATTTCTAATAACAGATTTATTTTATCTTTGCCATGATGACAGTAAATAAAATTTTACTAGATATTTTTCAAGTTAATAACATCAGTTTAAAGTGACATTTAAAGGCTTAACTAGGTTCATTGGGTTAACTAGGCATGTTTATTATGTTGTAATTAGGCAAGTTGTTGTATAACGATGGTTTGTTCTGTAGAACAAAAATGGTTTAAAAGGGGCTAAAAATATTTACCCTAGATAGTTTTTTTTTCATTTAAAACTGCTTTTATTGTATGAGGAACTACTTTCCTCTGCCATTCATTCTGTAGCTGACATCAAAACAGCAGAAGCTGTTGCTACTTCCCACACGTCATTTTAGAGCTTTGAATGATTCTCTAGCTTAAAGTCTAAAGTAAAACAGGTGATTTTGCTGCCATTTTAAGTGTATGTGGCTAAACGGCATGAAATGCCATCAGCCTACAGATATTTCCCAGTATTTCTCTGTTGCAATCGGGAGATCACAATAATTACATTTATTGATCTGCTATGTGGGCGGAGTAATACAAAAGGGTGAGTAGGCTTTATGAGTGCTGTTATTACGGCAATATCCCATGGCTGTTACCCAATCAGATTATTTTTACATTAATAGTTCACTCATGAATTGGTCATCTTTATACATGTTGTCTTCTAACACCGCTTAATCAAATGGTGCATAGTATAAAATGTATGTGTTTTTTAAACTCTCAAAGTGGAGGAGGTAAGCAGCTTTCAGCTAAAAATCTTTAAAGTTACCTGAGGACAAAGTTTACCTACAGTGCAACTTGATTGAGCTGAGGGTAAAATTTTCCTTTTGGATGATCCATTTTTTTTTAAATATATATTTTTTTATTTTAAGGTCAAAATCAAATAAACAATGTGTTTTCTTTTTTTATGACTGGTTGATGTGTCAAACTGTGTTAAATATGTCAAAACATAACAAACCGAAATACATTCGGACTGAAACTTTAGATTAGCTGTGCAAAAGAATGTTAAAAGTTAAAAATAATGTAATAATATACTTAATTTAAAAAGCATTATATGCCACATCAGTCAATGAGCCATTCCTGAATGAGCCATTTCTTTTATGACTTTGACTGGAAATAAACAGGGCTCTTGCACCTTTTCCAACTTCAAATTCCAGCACATTTCAAGCACTTTTAATGTGCATTTTTATGCTTTTCCAGCGAAGGTAAATTTCGTTTATATATGCTGTGTACTTTTTTTAACATTTAGATCCATTGTGCTATTTTAAAAGACACAATATGACATTTTAACTTAAATTGTTAAATACTTTGGAGCATAGATTTATTAGGATTGTTCACACCTAAAAAAACGTTCAGGTTTTGGATGAAGTGTCCTTTTAGTTTGGTCTCTTTCTACCTAAAGTTG